CGGATGCAAAGGCGTCCGCCTCGCGCCGCCCACGCGCCTAGCGCAGCGCCTCTGCCCCCGCCCCCGCCTCCGCCCCGCGCCTGGAGTCTTGTGCCTGGGGAAGTGGCCGACTGCCAGTCTCGTGGCCTTCTGCAGCCTGCATCCTTCTCTTTCCAGTTATCCTCAGTTTCCCTCCGTTTCTGTCTTTCGTTACGCACGCCTATATGTAGTACTTAGAAAGCTTTGCAATGCTGAGAAAAACCGATGAAAGATTTTGACACAACTCCACGTTGTCCATGTCCCTGTTTACGAATGGGTATCAACAATTCGTGATACTCAAAATGCGATTTTAGTTTTAAACATCTGCCTGTACGTCTGTTTACCAACAATGCTAGCACATAAAACTTTAAACATGATATTCTACAAACTGGTTACTTCTTGCCAATTCGACACAATTAGAAACGTATTTTTAATTGTTGGGAGAACTTTACATGAAGCTCCATGACGAAACTCTTTGGAGCGCCGTTTGCTCTTTCCGGAAAAAAAGTTATTAACCACAAATTTGGAGTTGTCGTGAAAATTTTCATAATGCTAAGTCTTGATTTAAAGGAGCCTCCAAAATGAAAACATCCTCTTTATATTCGAAGGGCCTTGTGTTCAGTCATATTGCTCAGAGAATGCCAATTATGGATAAAATCCTCTAATCAGTTTAGTCTCTACTTTTGACCAAGTATGGATAGACAGACAGACAGACAGACAAGTGATAGACAAACAGACAAGTGAATAGACAGACAAGCAAACCGACACCTTTAGATAGACGCAGAGTCAGATACGTACACAGACGGATACTGACAGAGAAAAGTGATAGTCACAGAAAGACAGACACATACAGAGAGACAGAGACAGAAAACGAAACACGTTCTTCCGTAAACCAACATTTCCGTATCAAGGTCTCCTAAAATGTAAATACCGGCTACACACGTTGTAGGAAATAATTTCCTTCATTCAAGAATAAGATTTTTCCCACTGTTTAGATATCAGAAACCCCGAATACGAGTTTTGCTGACAAAAATCGCCACATTCAATTGTTGCATTATAATACGTAAGTACGTATATTGCAAGAAAGCAAAAGGGAAAAGATAGAAAAAAAATAATGTAAGACTACCGTTCAGAAATCGCTTTATCATAAATGAAGTAAACTAAAGACAAGTTGTATTTTAAAATCTCAATTAATTACTTTTTTATTTATTGACGTCAAAAACAGTTCAAATCTGTGTGTGACGTGATCTAGGGAAAAGTTACATTTATTTACTTCCTACTTCATAAAAATTTAATGTTGTATTGATTCTATTGAAATAATGTATTGTAATATACATATAGTGTTTATAAATTCCGATTCTTGTTTCTCCTCACTACTACGTTTTCATCATTTTTGTTTAACTCGTTTTTGCCCCTTCAAATTCTAGAATCTGCCTTGTGCTCGGCGCACGTCAGCTCTATTATTGGATACACGAGTAACTGCAGGGAGGCGTGGGTGTTGGAGTGGTTTGAATGTGATTCCTGATGCCGAGTAATTGAGGTGGGAGGATCACAGTCTGAAAGTTAAATTTATGTTTGCTCGTTTATTAAGTAACTTTGCCCCGGTCTTACGTGCTACCAATCTTAGTCTAGAACATTCAGTTCTTCCATGTCCTAACGCATTGGGTGTATAATATACGTGCATGATTCTTACTTATGTTTCCAAACTGTAATCTATAATTATATTAATATACAATATATTAATAAATATATTTAATATTATACCTACATTTAAAACGATGATCACATCAAACATTCCTTACTTCATAAACTGTTTATTATTTTGAGTGAAAATAGCTTCTTTCCGGATCCTAACTTCAAATGGCCAACTACTAAACTGCGCGTTACAGCATTTCCTGGTATTCTGCATGACTTTAAATATTCTAATATTGCTATGCACTGAGACTAAATTTCTCAGAAAATCATTCATTTTAACTATATCGTGGAATATTATGTAAGTCACTATCTTCAATTCAACTCTTACATCAATTTCAAGTTACTACTCGTACATGGTTCTCTCCCAATGTTAATTATAAGAAACATCATGATTTCAATCAGGTGCTGGAATGTTTCTTGGGTAATGGCAGCCCATTCTTCCAGGACTGTTGCACTGAGAGGTATCGATGTAGGTCGGTGAAGCCTGGCACGAAGTCGGCGTTCCAAAACATCCTAAAAGTGTTCGCTAGGATTCAAATCAGGACTCTACGCAGGCCAGTCCATTACAGAGATGTAATTGTCGTGTAACCTCTCCGCCACAGGTCGTGCAGTGTGAACAGTTGCTCGATCGTCTTCAAAGATGCAATCGCCATCCCCGAATCGCTCCTCAACAGTGGGAAGCAGGTGTTTAAAACATCAATGTAGGCCTGTGCCGTTAAGGCGCCACACAAAACAACTAGGGATGCTCGCCCACTCCAAGAAAAACACCACCATACCAGAACACCATTTTGGACGTGTCCGGATACTTTTGATCACATAGTGTAAGTACCTACATCGGCCACGTAGCTTCCGTAAGCTCTAGCTTTGTGTCACGGGTTCAAGAGCTAATTAATTTCCCACAGAAGTTTCAATATCAGTGCAACGATGGTGAAATGTGTTTTAGAGCTTAATAGTAATATTTTTATAGTTTACTAATGGACCTGCCAATGCTTCTCTATTGCAATGTATCTCTCTTCAGAAGATACTGTTCACAAGATTGTTAATCAAGGTTTACGCTACGTTTTGCAAATCTTTCAATAGATGACACGCGAGTATCGGTTGGTTCTATCGCCTGGTTTGGGCATGGTCAAGTATGCTACTGTTAAAACGTTATCCCTCAAGTTTGAGCATGCATTCGCTATGACACTATCTTGGAGAAATCTTATTTAAATTACTTGTCCGAGATAACGCTCAAGTAATAATTCCGGACGATATTTCACAATCACAAGGGCTGCATGTGCAGCGAATACGATGCGGCGAGGTGCGTAGAGCTCAGGGATGCTCGAGTCATAAACGAATGCTCAGGGATGCATTTTTGCGCGTATGTGCGACAGATATGTGGGCTTTTCTATTGTAATATGCCTATAATCAGCACGCAAATGCAAGCAATAAGTTGACAAAGTTTTACACAGTTAGCAAGTTTACAGTTTTACAGTTAACAATCTATTGTACGGTACGACAGCGCATGAAATATGAACAAACGCTGTTTTTTATTTATTATATTGATTTTCTTCGGTAATAATGGGAAGAAAATATTTTGCTTCTCTTCGTTTTTCAGCTAAAACCATCAACCAAGCTCTAGATTTCCAATTCTCGGTTTTTTTAGCTGTTGAGTTCCCTTGTCACATCTACGACCCACGTTAATCGAAAATCCCGTTCGGGGCTGGTTGGTACTTTTCAATTGGGGTTGGTTGGCACAATGTCAACCAACCCCATCCTCTGTGTAGCCATCAAATAACACCATTTTTCTGACACTTCTATTCACACTTAAATAAAAGAATGTATAGTGGCCGTAGTTTTCCACAATTCCTCTCCTACAATACCAAATTTGCAATGTAAAACTCCATTGGACAATTAGCACACCCCTTCCTGAATAGCTCCCTTGCTTAAAAATGGCCAATTTTAAACTTGTCACATTTCTTATTAATTATTAAAACCCCTATCCAAATCCTGATGTTGTGCAAGTAATGACCACGTACAAAGTTTCGTAGTGGTCGGATACTCGACTCGGTAATGAGCAATAGACATTCTACACTCTGAAAGTGTCTGAAACAAAAAAATACCGGTTCATATTGATTTATTGCAATGCCTCATAAGATGTTTTCAGCTTATTCTTTAAGTATAAAAAACTGGGAAAATGAATTCTCTTCGATCTAATCCTCACCACAAGTACGCATAAAATCATAAACTCCACGTTCTGCAAGTTTGAAGCAACTGGGAAGTCTTCAATTCTCATTCCGCAAATTTTATTCTTGAATGTGGCCAACACCGGTGATTGCTACCTACCATCTTGGTAAAATAAAATTTCGTATTATTTCTGACATGATACACTAGATAGTCCTTATTGAATGAAACATGCACGCAGCAGCGAAAACACGTTAACTTTACAAATAAGCAGAACGAGTTCAAAATTATTACGCTCTGATAAGGTAGTATTAGGTATTAGGTATTGTTAGGTAAATTATGTAATAGAATTGCGTCCGGATGTTTGTATTGCACTGTCGACGTTGAAATCTGATTTATTTTATCACTATAATATGGTTTATACTTTTAAATATTTGAATTGCTAAATTATGCGCCTTCTTTTTATGCTAGAGTCCAGTATCATTGTATGTAACTCTTAGTAAACTGCCTACCTCCATTTGTTTTGTTTAGGATGTCTCTCTTTTTACGATCATAATTTGTTATCGTGAATCCTACATAATAGAATGATTTTACATATTTAATTCAACCTCTTTATGTTAACAAATTCCAACCATTTTCTCCTACTACCAAGTATAATTCTTATTCAAGACTGGTCCTCACTTCCCATATTCTTCTATTAATTTTCTAGTCATGTAGTTGGTATCCTCAGCATTGGGTACTGTGGAAACGATCACATATTGCACCTCGCCCATAGGACGTAATACAGCTTGAACTGATTTTTGACCTTACGCTAAAATATGTATATAAATAAAACTACTCGTACTTGATCATCTGCATTTATCAAGATATTCAATAAATCTATTCCATTAGGAATTCCAATACCTTTTCACTTTCATTCCAACATGTGAGATTCTAGTTTTTCGTATTTTTTAACACAGCTGGTAATAAACAACTTTGTCTAAGACTTTGTTGTTTGTCGTTTATTGTAGCTGTTGAAGAATTTAACAAGGAGTCAGATTTTTTCAGGTCTACAAAAACTATAAGTATCTTCCTACTTAATTTGGTTATTTTTTTCACATATTTTGACTCGATTTTAAGCAAAACAATTGGAATATTGCAGAATATACTTTGAGGATACAAGAAAAAGAATAAAATCGTAATTATTTCTGAATTTGACTTTTTTTAGAGATCCTTCTATCTGTGGGATAAATTTGAAGAAAAACTTTTGAGCGTTCTTTAATGTTTTTATAAAGTGCATTAATTTTAAGCATACGTTACGCGATAACCACTCGTTTTTTTCAAAAACTATAAGTGGCCTTTTTAAAGAGCTGATTTCCAGAACGCATTTTGTTTAACACAAAAAATCCCTATCTTAAATTCTGTTTAAATTTCCGAAAACACATATAGTTTCGTGGAAATGGGAGTAGCACCATTTTTACCGTATTTTAATAGATACGAGGAAAAAATTTTAAAATAAAATTTGGAGTTATTTTTGAGAAAATAATTATTTAAAACATTAAAATTGCCTATAATTTACTCCAAAATCACTCTTATTTTCGAAAAAATTGTACGTTTACTTACTTTAAGATTTTCCTTTAAAGAACATATTCCATTAGGAAAAATGTCTATCCTCAAAATTGTCGTTGCAGGAAGACAACGAAAATATTGAACTTTTGCAATTTTTAACAAAAACAGGGATTTCTACAAAAAAAGACCTGCATTATTCTCTTAAACGTCCTTTACGCTATCCGAGAATACGTTTAATCCACCAACTGGAACCCATTTTTGAGAAATTTTTGAAAATGTGAGTGAGGCTTCTTGTAAAGTACATCAAATTATCAAAAACATCATGGGAAAATCAGCTGAATGGTTTACAGGCTAGCATTCACCACAAACGGACAGACGGACGATTTGCTGTCAATTGATATTTCGGTATCAATGAGCAACAAAACTTGGATTCTGACTACACACCTTGTTTAGAGGAAGTAATTTATCATATATATGAACAAGTCTTACCCACTTACCAGGACCCGGCAATGTGTCTTTCTGAAAAAAATTCAGTTTTCCGGAACCCGCTCAAGAAACGTTCTCTTCTTACGAAGTTAGGGCAAGAAAGAAAACAGGAAATGGGCCTAAGGGATGGGTTCTGACCCAAAGCCAAAGTAAATGGATTCGAAATAGAGGTCCTATACTCCCAGGAACCCGCGAGTGGAGACTAGCTTCGTATCAAAAGAGCGGGTCACCATATGGGCCGGAAGGCACAGCGGTGGCCCAATCCAGAAAATGCGTATGCATTCATACATACTTTCATACATACTTTCATACATACTTTCATACATACTTTCATACATACTTTCATACATACTAAAGTACACTCAGACTAACTTTGTTGTCTAGGAAATTCAGCGATAGCGCTGCTTTTTCAAATAAAGTGTAGTGTCTGATCTTTCCTCTCAAAATACTTGCTAGTTTCCAGTCTGGCTAGCAGACTTGCTCTGCCTATATCCGCGCAGTGCACACCGCCCTCGCCATCCACCTCTGGGTCGCGTTTCGAAACCCGGTCAATGCAAATGGAATTCAAGACACACTTTGTTGACAAAACGGGATTTCAGCTGTTTTTCATGGAGTTATTTAGTTCTTATGTTCCTAATTTAGTCGCTTTATTAAATACACATGCAATCACTTCTTACTTAAATTGAATAATATCATTACCGCAAAGAAGTAGACTACAATCAATTGGAATCATGTGTTTGAATTGTACAGTCCAACCTCCGTTTTGCAATTAGTCTCTTCCGATCAGTAATTGGGTTATAAAATCCAATTGCTTTGGAGTTGATACAAAAATATTTCGTAAACCTGCCAGCTTATTTCTTTCTTCTTCTAGGCAAAGAATTTGTAAACAGAAATGAAGTATCAGGCATGAAACTTATTTCAATCGTCTAGTAATATATTCAATAATCAAATAAACAACACCGTGTCCGACTAAATATAATGATCAATTGTCTTAATTGTTGGCGCAAATGGAAATGATTGCAAGTTCGCAAACGTAAATTCATATTCAATATTATTTTTAATAATAATAATAATAATAATAATAATAATAATAATAATAATATTTAATTATAATAAATTTAAAGTTATGGGGAAGATCTAATAAAAACTCGTCAAGAATCCTTCAGGCCAGAGCTCGGGATTAAATGAAAATGAGCAAAACACAAATTAAAGAAGTGGTGCTACTAATCACGTAATTTCTCGCATAATTTGTATCGGTTACGTGTTATTATAATACTATTTGAACCCATAAAAGTGTTTCTAGCTCGAAAATGCTTGCTGTCGTTGGCATTCGAACTCACGTCCTCAAATGTAGCAAGCTATTAGCATATTCCCTTAACCAAATGACTCAGACCTCATAACAAACTTCCCGGTGCTTTAAAAAGAAAGTGGAACAGGTTCAACTCGTCGTTTAAAAAAACTGCATGACATTCTTTAAAGATCTCATTACGAAGAACAGATTTCTCTGAGAAAAAGTATGTGTCTTCAACATCGTAGTTGTATGAAGATGTCGAATCAAAAAATTGAACTTTTTGATTTGCATAAATTACGCGTTTTCAACGAAAATCGAACACGTGCTGTTTTTATGAACGTACTTTACTCAGAGAGAAAATAATGAAACATTTTTGAGCCATTTTCGATAAAATTTTGAAAATATCGTTGAGGCTTCATGTAGTCTCCCCCCCCCCCAAAAAAAAACAAATATCCCATTCAAACTCTCTGGATCTTGAGTTCGTCCATGTCGATCAGGGAATATCAATTTTGAAGAAAACCCCACGAACTGTTTGGGCCCTAGTACTGTCCACACACGAACAGAAAGCGTTTTTCTCGTCAACCCGTTTTACAGTATTAATGACCAACAAAACCTGAATTATGACTGTATAACCAATTAGAGGAAGTAATATACTACGTATAGGAGCAAGTATAATAATTTTTTTCTGTGTGAGAACAATACTAGTTTTTCTGTCGAAAATCGTCACTTTTCTCTGCAGCATTACTTTATCTTTACTGCGTAAGTACGTAGTTGGCAAGAAAGTAATAATCAGTAAAAAATTTCCTACTTCTCAAATTTTTCGAGCAAGCATGTTAAAAAAAAACAATGTGCCAATGGCAGATCTTTAGAATCGGAGGGAGATGTGGCCAAATAATCTCCAACCCCCGAACTCCACACTCCGGATTCCGAACTTGGAACACGGCATAGTTGAGCGAGTTGCCCTGCAAAGCACGCGCGGGGCATGCATAGATGGAGCTGGCCACCAGGCTCCGCCCGCGGGGCGCGGGGCGCG